TCTCTCTCTCTCTCTCTCTCTCTCTCTCTCTCTCTCACACACTCTCTCACACACATACTCACACTCACACACTCTCTCTCTCTCTCTCACTCACACTCACACTCACACACGCGCTCTCTCTCTCTCTCTCTCACTCACACTCTCTCACACACACACTCGCACTCTCACACACACACACACACGCACACTCACACGCTCCCTCACACGCACTCGCACACTCTCACTCACACGCACTCACTCACTCTCAGTCACTCACTCACACTCACTCACTCACTCACACTCACACACACTCACACACACTCACTCACTCACTCACTCACTCTCTCACTCTCTCACTCTCTCACTCTCTCACTCTCTCACTCTCTCACTCTCTCACTCTCTCACTCTCTCACTCTCTCACTCTCTCACTCTCTCACTCTCTCACTCTCTCACTCTCTCACTCACTCACACTCTCACTCACTCTCACACTCTCACTCTCACTCTCACTCTCTCACACACACACACACACACACACACACACACTATCTGTACTCACACACTGCAGCTCTGGGCTTTGCAGCTTTTGCAGATTCTGTGTATGAGAGTTTAAAAGTAAAACATCAATCAAACAGCCACTCGTTTGCTCACACACGCTAAGATTATTATCATTTACTAAAACTAAAACCATAAATAAAATAAACTTTAACTGAAATAAAATAAAATACACAAAAACTTTATTTTATTTCAGCCTGTAGCCAAGGCAACATTTCTTATTTTCATTTAACTTTAACTTAATGTTCTAAAATAAATCAAACTGGCATGAAAATAAAATAAAATATAAAGTTACTACATCAAAATGAAAAATAAAAACAAATTCAAAATATCAATAAAACTATGATAGTATTTATTTATTTATTGTTTGTTTGTTTAATGCCATTTCAGCAGCAAAGGCTATGTTCATGGCAAAATCAACAGTATTATGATTACAATATCATTTCAATACAACGTTTGCAATAATTTAACATTTTTTCTTAAAAAATAATTAACAAAAATATACATACTAAAATGACAACATTATCATTATATACAATTTTTCAATTTAACGTATGACAAAAATTCTAAAACTATTCCCAGAAAAAAACTTTTAAAAAATGTTTTCTGAATAAAAACGTTGTCCATGTCATTTAAAACTGGGGTCATTCTATGTTTTACACTTTTTACATATTTTTTTTAATAAAATTCTTTTTTTTTTTTTTTCACTTCCCTTCCCCTTTTAATAAATATGAATGAGTCTTGAGTGACCAATTCGACATCTCGTACATATGACCTGGTCATATCTTCTTTCAAAATAATAATAATTAACTGGGTTCACCTCATATAGTTTGTTTTACATGCATTGATTCCATTCCATTTAACTGTCAGTGATACTAAAATAACACTGTCAAACACTGACTATGTTTACATGCACATCAAATTCAGCTTGAGGTCTATAGTCGGATTGCAGCCATACTCTGATTATGATGTTTATACACATACAGGCATCAGATCATTTCTGTATACTTGATTGATGAAGTCTGCTGATATGGATTTTCTGAATTTGTTCACATGCAATACATTTCTACTGAATCAGACTGTCATGTTTACACGAATCAGCACTAAACAGAACATTGCAGAATTCCAATTAATTTCGGAATATTGATGCGCATGTAATCACGTCACATCACTGACATCAATGTCCACCTGATGAATCTGAATCAGCTGATGTTTATTTGATGAGAACTATTACTCATGTCACATGTGCAGAGGTCAGAGAGCAGGTCATTCACATTCTGAGGATCAGAGATGCTGGACAATGACCACGTTTTTGGTGCAAATAATGTTAGTGAAGGTTTAAAGTCGCCTTAAGGCAGGGGTTTTCAAACTGTGGGTCGCACAAAGTCACTTGGCTGCAACTAAATTCGCGTTTCAATGACACACACACACACACGACTCACACTGACTCACACTGACTCACACTGACTCACACTGACTCACACTAGGGTTGCACGATATAGGCTACCAACATTAATAACGAATTGCAAAATTCTTAGTTCGATTTTAAACATGCGTTGCGTATTTTGAAGCGCGGCGCGTACGAGTTGTAACAACGGTGAGGGTCTCAGAGCGATGTCATTATTAAAAGGCTGGGTCCGCGTTATTAACAAGAAGAAACTCGCTCACTTCACTGCGCTGTATTCTGCATGAGATTGCATTACACCGGAAAATTCAAATGTTATGAAAACTGTTTCAGGTAGCCTATGTTCATTCATTTCTATCGTCTGTTTGAACTCGGCGTTGTTTTCGTTCCTTCATATGCATTTGGCTGCCTACTAATAAGTAAACAGTGTGTAAAAAGCATTTCACATGTACGGGGTGAGCGGGGCACAAATGCAGGGTTAATTGTAACCGAGATACAACTATTTGAAAATCTGGAATCTGAGGGTGCAAAAAAATCTAAATATTGAGAAAATCATCTTTAAAGTTGTCCAAATGAAGTTCTTAGCAATGCATATTACTAATCAAAAATTAAGTTTTGATATATTTACGGTAGGAAATTTACAAAATATCTTCATGGAACACGATCTTTACTTAATAGCCTAATGATTTTTGGCATAAAAGAGAAATGTATCATTTTGACCCATACAATGTATCGTTGGCTATTGCTACAAATATACCTGTGCTGCTTATGACTGCTTTTGTGCTCCAGAGTCACAAATATTAGTAGTGAAATTTTACAGTTGTACTACTATATAAAATAAATTGGTTATTTTTCTTAAATTCTTAATTTCTGCCATATTAAACTTAATTAAGATTAAGCTTAAAGTAATGTCAGCTGTTTTTTGATCCCAAATATTTTGGTGGGTCATGAAATAGATTATACTTGTCTAGGTGGGTCGTGGAATGGAAGTTTGGGAACCCCTGCCTTAAGGGACCAAATGAAATGATTAAACAAACACGTACGACACACACACACACTCACACTCACACACACACACACACACACACACACACACACACACACACA